ATTTAAAATGGAATATCACAAAATAAAACATAGAACAAGCCAAAAAGCGTATATACATAAAGAATTAGCAGAGTTAAGGAAAAAATTTCTTCTAGAAGGATATCCACAAAGTTTATTAAATACATGGGAAAATAAAATAAACTACCCAAAAACAAGAAATAAAGATAAGCAAAAACCTCGAGAATGTAATAAGGTAACTAACATCATTTCTGATTCAAAGAATTACTAACGAATCTAATTGAAAAATACTTGTTATCTTCTATTGTTTCTCGGTATGCGAAGAAAGACCAATCTATACTACTTTACAGAAAGTAAACGGAATGTAAAAAGTACCTTTTGAATGAGCCGCATTAAAACGGAAGGCTTTCTTCATGTAAAATACACAAAAAAAGATACAAAAAAACGCGAAGGTATAAAGAATGTTTTCATTAACATGAAAACTAATAATTACTCTATTAAATAACCAGAAAAATATCAAAATCGATCATTAGTTACGTGAAATTGTGAACTATTTTATATATGTATATTTATATTTTAGTTGGCTGAAAAGAGGTCTACATGGGCCCGAAACGTGTACAAAAAAAACAGGTACACTACATGTATCAATTAAAAATTGAATAAATTTAGAGTGAAGATTGTCTAGTGTTCGTGTATTTATACTATATGGTGTTCAAAAGGACAAAAATAATCACTGACACGTTTTCAAGAAATTAAACAAATTAGACGCCAACACGCGCGAGAATTTTTCCCCTTTTATTGACTTTTTTGAGAGGTTCGGGAGGTCTCCAAACTGCAAGAAAAAACTTAGAGGGTAAAATTTCACATGATTACAATACTTTTCCGTTTTATATACATAACAAATTGGGAAGTAATTATTATGTTTATTGTGTACAGGCACAATGAACTGACGTTTTTCTCAACACTGGGCTAGTTGAATAGATGTTCTCGATACTTCCCAATGAGTGAAGAATAAAAACAAAAGAAAAAGAAAACTTTTTTTGTCAAATTATTTTAAAGTTTATGCGAATTTTGTTGAAGCATATCTTTGGTTAAATGCACTCAAATTCATATTACAAGTGTTAATGCCAGATTATTATTGTCTTTGAGTAATGAAGATGTATAAAGAGAATGCCACTCTAGCTTCGATGATTCTTGTATTCTTTTCTACATGTATTTCTCTACAATTTAGCATCTTAAAAAGAAGAAAGTTGAGTTTGCATTACTCGAAATATGGTTACGAAGAAGAATACAAAATTGCAAACCGTATAGAAATGAGTTTAGTTGCATATTTAAGTCTGGCCTTTTTTGCTTCGTTGGTATTGTCTTTAATGGCCTCTTTTTCGATGTACTCGTCAATAAAAAATCTGGACGGAAGTGATTTTGAAGCCGTTTCATGTTTTGTTAACGGAGCAGTATTCTATCTGTATGCACTTGGACACATTCTATGTCTTCTGCTATATTTCGGCTTATGTATATTTGTTTGGTCGAAGAGATTGGCGAATTTATCCGAAGAATTAAAAAAGACAAAGGTTACAATGGGCATGTTGGCAAACGGTTACAAATCATTATGAACAAACACACAGAATTATGGGAAGTTTACCAAATGTTAAGCGAAACATTTTACTGGCTGATTCCATTAATTTATACTTCTTTCCTTTATTTCAATTGTTTCCTTACTTATGGAGCTATTTTTGGACACATTGACTTTAACGTCATTATTTTTATTATTATTATTTTTTATATGATGGTTAAAAATAAAAAAAGCTTAAGAAAATGATGTGTTTATACACTTAATTATTATTTAATTATCTTTTTACTTAGTAATTTATTAGTTCATATTCTAATTAAACAAAACTCCAAATTTGATTAAAATATTCAAATTACAGGAATAGAGAAATGATAGTAAAACAGACCACACCATCAATATTGATGACAAAAAAGTGATTAGTATAAATACCGTTCACTTCGTATAATTAAACACGTCATCAGTAAATGACCTTGTTATGAAGCAAGATTTTGAACAAATTTTCTGTTATTAAATGAAACAGTGTTATAATTGTAAAATAAATAAACCCTTCGAAGAATATAGTATAAATAATCATTCTAAAGATAGTCATTGCTATTGGTGTAAAGCTTGTATCAGTAAATACTTTAAAAGTTATTATGAAAAGAACAAAGCTGAATTAATAAAATGTGAATGTGGTAAAAAATTTTTTAAATTACACTTAGAAGATCATATGAAAACTAATATTCATAGAAGGCGATTAAATAAAATTAAAAAGTGTAGTGATTGTAAGGAAGAAAAATCTTTTAGATGAATTTCGTAAAAACAAAAGTAATACAGATGGATATGGTTATATTTGTAAGACGTGTTCGAAAGCGAAAATTTATTGAATGTTTTTTTCCCCCTATTAAATGGAGCAAATATTTCAATCACAAACTCTTCGTCAAGTACATCAATATTGTAGAGATAATAATATAAGAGGATATTCAAGATTAAGGAAAGCAGACCTAATTGATTTTATTATAAATTATGGACAATCACAAAATAATAAAAATTATAGACAAAGAGAAACTATTCAACAGCTGCGTCAACTTTGTAGAGATAATAATCTTAGAGGTTATTCAAGATTAGGGAAAGCAGACTTGATTGATTTTATAGAGAGATATAAATTTAGTAATATATTTAACTTTCATGATGATGTTATAATAAATTCAAGACAACCAAGAGAAAAAAATATAATTAGTATTATATTTAACTTTCGTGAGGATATTTTTTCAAAACCAAGAAAAGAAAGAGAAAAGCAAATAAAATGTGGCATCTGTAATCATTACTATAAACCAACCTATGAAAATCTCCACATTGAAAAAAGAGAACATAAGAATGCATTATACAATGGTGAACCTATCCAAGAGATTGAGACAGCATTCGAATCAAGATTAAAAACGTATTCGATTAGGAATATGTCTGATCATATCATACCAAGAGAATTTTTAGAAGATGTTAGAGATATAGTTATTGAAAAGATATCAGAGATACTGTAAACAATGAACTTGAAAGTAAATTTCAAATTTTTCTGTGTCAAAGAGAAAATGAGAACAAGGGCTTTTTATTTATAATTGGAAATGAGATTATTTTAGAATCAACAGATTTGAATGCTTTTTATAATAGAGTAATTGATAAACTAATAAGAGAGATGGATGAATTTGAAGCAAAAGGATCTGGATGGTCTTTAATAGAAATATATAATTTAGAGCTAAGAATTAATAAATATGTTCCATTTACAGGATCATCTTACATTGAATTACCAAAAACAATCAGAGACAAGAAAGCTGTATTGAATATTAAGAATAAAGATCAAGAATGTTTTGCTTATTGCATCGCTGCATATTTAAATCCAGTAGGAAGAAACAATGGTCGAGTTAGTAATTACTGTATAACATTGATGAAATTAAAGAAAAACTTAAAGGAATCAAATCACCTATTGCTTTATCTGATATAGGTAAATGTGAAAAAAATTGAATATATCAGTGAATGTTTATACTTTAATGGGCTGTCTAAAAATAAAGAAGAAGAGAAAAAAGAAATAAATTATGAAATTTATCCTATAAGAATAACAGAAAATAAACTAAATAAGCATGTATATTTATTATATTTTAAAAATGAAGAAAATTTACATTACTGTTTGATAAAGAATCTTTCTAGATTAGTTAGAGCACAAATCACAAAGCATGAAAGAAAGATTTATATATGTGAATAGTGTCTAACATACTATAAATTCAGTAGAACAATTAATGAATCATGAAACTGATTGTAAAGAAAAAAAGATGGGGAAGATACAAACTATTGGAGGAACTATTTTATTTGAAAACTTAAAAAATTCATTGAGGATACCATTTGTGATATATGCTGACTTTGAGTGTTTAACTAAGAAAATAGACTCATGTTAACCAGATCCATCTAAGTCTTATACAGAGAAATATCAAAAACATGAACCAATGAGTTTTTCTTATTACATAAAGTATGTACATGGAGAATATAAGGAACCAGTTATATACAGAGGGCCTGATGTAGTAAAAAAGTTTGTAGAGATGTTAAAAAATGAAGTTGAGGAAATTGAAAAGATATATAAAGACATTAAGCCAATAAATATGACTGTAGAAGATGAAAAACATTATAAAAATACTAATATCTGTCATATATGTGGTAAGGAGATAAAAGAAGATAAAGTTAAAGATCATGATCATTTGACAGGCANAATGAAGTTGAGGAAATTGAAAAGATATATAAAGACATTAAGCCAATAAATATGACTGTAGAAGATGAAAAACATTATAAAAATACTAATATCTGTCATATATGTGGTAAGGAGATAAAAGAAGATAAAGTTAAAGATCATGATCATTTGACAGGCAGGTATAGGGGTCCTGCTCATAACCGATGTAATTTAAATTATCAAAACCCTAAGTTTATACCAGTATTCATTCATAATCTAACTGGATATGATGCTCATTTATTTGTCAAAGAACTTAAATATGATGAACAGAAAATTGATTTGATACCAAACAATGAGGAGAGATATATCTCATTTACTAAGAAAATTGGTAAAATGAAACTAAGGTTTATAGATTCATTTAGATTTATGGCTAGTAGTATTGATAAACTCTCCAGTAATTTGAAAAAAGAACAGTTTAGAGAAACATTTAAGTTTTTTCCTAATCACCTATTAGATTTAGTTATAAGAAAAGGTGTTTATCCTTATGACTATATGGATTCGTGGAAGAAATGTGAAATGGATAAACTTCCTCCAAAACAAGAATTCTATAGTATATTAGTAGTAGTGGTTTGACACATACTGATCACAAAATTAATTTCAGATGTCAATTAAATTAAAATTTCAAATAAAAATTTGTTAAATAGAATTATTTCAGACGTTGATTAAATTAAAATTTCAAATAAAAATTTGTTGAATAGAATTATTTCAGACNTATTTTTTTTATATAATGTACACTACAATACAATCAGTTAAAATGGCGGTCGAAAACGGACAAGCTTGTTTACTCTTCCTATAACTTAGAGATGACGTAAAGAGATTTTACAATTCAAAATGGCAGTTGAAAACAAACAAGCATGTTTTCTCTTCCTATGACATCACTTTCAAAGTGGCGGTTGAAAACAAACAAGCATGTCCTCTCTTCCTATAACGCCAATTCAAAATGGCAGTTGAAAATGGACAAGCTTGTCCTCTCTTCCTCTGACATAGAGATGTGACGTAAAGAGATTTCACAATTCAAAATGGTAGTTGAAAACGAACAAGCTTGTCCTCTCTTCCTCTGACGTAGAGATGTGACGTAGAGGGATTTCACAATTCAAAATGGTGGTTGAAAACGGACAAGTATGTCCTCTCTTCCTGTGAGGTAGAGCGATTTCACAATCATGACTGTTGGAAAAAAGATTTATACTCAGGAAACATTTAATTCTGATGTTAAAAATGAAAAAAGAATTCACTTATAATTTTCATTAAGCTCATATAGTAGTTGTCCTAATTCTTAAGTTCATATAGAAGAAATAAATTGACTAGAGTCACCTGAATATGATTGTCCCTGTAACGTTTTCAAGAGTTCTTCCAGTTGTTCTTTCAATATAAGTTTATAAATTGTCTTACTTTATCTTTAGACATCTATAAATTCACCTTCTTACATAGTTTCTAATCATTAAATTAAAATTAGCACTCATACTGACTGTATTCACTGAACTGAAACAGAAACAGATATTTCAACATTATGTAGTAATAATTATTAGTCATCGGTAAATGACGTCAACTTTCTCTACGTTCTTATCAACTTAACTTTTTTTATGAAGCAAGATATTAAACAAATTTTTTTCATTATTAAATGAAGCAGTGTAAACGTTGTAAAATAAATAAACTCTTTGAAGAATATAGTAAAGATAATAATTCTAAAGATGGATATTTTTTATGGTGTGAAGGTTGTACTAGCGAATACTATAAAAATCATTATATTAAAACCAAAGATATAAAACAAGAATTAATAGAATGTGGATGTGGTTAAAAAATTTCTAAATCATACTTAGAGAAGCATATGAAAACTGATACTCATAGAAGGCGATTAAATAAAATTAAAAAGTGTAGTGATTGTAAGGAAGAAAAATCTTTAGATGAATTTCATAAAAATAAAAGAAATACTGATGGATATGCTTATATTTGTAAAACGTGTTTATTATCGAAAAAATATTGAATGTTTTTTTTTTCCTCCTAATAAATGGAGCGATCTCAAACTATTCGACAGCTGCGTCAATTTTGTAGAGATAATAATTCTAGAGGTTATTCAAGATTAAGGAAAGCAGACTTAATCCATTTTATTATAAATTATGGACAATCACAAACTAATAAAAATTATAGAAAAAGAGAAACTATTCAACAGCTGCGTCAGTTTTGTAGAAATAATAAACTTAGAGGTTATTCAAGATTAAGGAAAGCAAACTTAATTCATTTTATTATAAATTATGGACAATCACAAACTAATAAAAATTATAGACAAAGAGAAACTATTCAACAGCTGCGTCAGTTTTGTAGAAATAATAATCTTAGAGGTTATTCAAGATTAAGGAAAGCAGACTTAATTGATTTTATAGAGATATAAATTTAGTAATATATTTAACTTTCATGAAGATGTTATAACAAAACCAAGACAGGCAAGAGAAAAAAATATATTTAGTAACTTTCATAAAGATATTTTTTAGAACCAAGAGAACCTAGAATAAAAAAAATAAAATGTGATATCTGTAATCATTACTATCATCCAACATATAAGAATCTTCACATTAAAAAAAAAGAACATATCAATGCATTATACAATAGTGACCCTATCCAAGAAATTGAGACAGCATTCGAATCAAGATTAAAAACATATTCAATTAGGAATGAGACTAATCTTAAGAATAAAGATCAAGAATGTTTTGCTTATTGCATCGCTGCATATTTAAATCCAGTAGGAAAAAACAATCATAATCCTGGTCGAGTTAGTAATTATAACATTGATGAAATTAAAGAAAAACTTAAAGGAATTAAATCACCTATTGTTCTATCTGATATAGGTAAATGTGAAAAAAATTGAATATATCAGTAAATGTTTATACTTTTAATGGGCTGTCTATAAAAGAAAACAGAAGAGAAAAAAAGAAAAGAATTATGAAATATATCCTATAAGAATAACAGAAAATAAACTGAGTAAGCATGTAAATTTATTATATTTTAAAAATGAAGAAAATTCACATTACTGTTTGATAAAAGATCTATCTAGATTAGTCAGATCACAAATAACAAAGCATACAGAAAAGATTTATGTATGTGAAAGATGTCTAACATCCTTTAATTCAGCAGAAAAATTAACGAATCATGAAACTGATTGTAAAGAAAAAAAATGGGAAAAATACAAACTATTGGAGGAACTATTTTATTTGAAAACTTAAAAAATTCATTGAGGATACCATTTGTAATATATGCTGACTTTGAGTGTTTAACTAAGAATATGGAAACATGTCAACCAGATTCATTTGTCTTATACAATGAAATATCAACATCATGAACGAATGAGTTTTCTTATTACATAAAGTATGTACATGGAGAATATAAGGAACCAGTTACATACAGAGGGTCTGATGTAGTAAAAAAGTTTGTAGAGATGTTGAAAAATGAAGTTGAAGAAATTGAAAAAATATAGAAAGACATTAAACCAATAAATATGACTGTAGAAAATGAAAAACATTTTCGAAATACTAATATCTGCCATATATGTGGTAAGGAGATAAAAGAAGATAAAGTTAAAGATCATGATCATTTGACAGGCAGGTATAGGGGCCTGCCCATAACCAATGTAATTTAAATTATCAAAACCCGAAGTTTATACTAGTATTCATTCATAATCTTACTGGATATGATGCTCATTTATTTGTCAAAGAACTTGGATATGATACAGAGCCAATTAGTTTGATACCGAACAATGAGAAGAGATATATATCATTTACTAAGAAAATTGGTAAAATAAAACTAAGGTTTATATTGATAGATTCACTTAGATTTATGGCTAGTAGTGTTGATAAACTCTCCAGTAATTTTAAAAAAAAAGTTTAGAAAAACATCTAAGTTTTTTCCTAATCACCTATTTGATTTAGTTATAAGAAAAAGTGTTTATCCTTATAACTATATGCAGCGCTGTCCAACTTATCATAGCACGCGGGCCATACTTTCTTCACCAAACATTTCGGGGGCCAAGAAGGTCGATAAATGAAAAAGGATTGCTGCTGTATTCAGCCAGGTTAAGTGAAATTACGCAAACTAAATATTACCTACTTTAAATTAAAATTAGATTAAAATTTTCACATAGTAAAATAATTTTAATATTAATAATAATAATAATAATTTAGTACCATAAATTTATTCATAGTAAAATGTGCTCGCGGGCAGTAAAAATTATTTGGCTGGCCGTATACGGCCCGCGGGCCGCCAGTTGGACAGCCCTGACTATATGGATTCGTTGGAGAAATGTGAAATGGATAAACTTCCTCCAAAACAAGAATTCTATAGTATATTAAATAAATGTGATATATCAGATAAAGATTATGAACATGCTCAAAACGTATGGGAAGCACTTAAGATTAGTAATACGGGAGAATATTTAGATCTATATGTGAAAACAGATGTTTTGATACTAGCAGACATCTTTAAGAATTTTAGAGATGTATGCTTTAAAACTTATAAATTAGACCCAGCATGGTATTATACAGCACCTGGATTATCATGGGAAGCAATGTTGAAGATGACTGATGTATATTCAACATCACGTCCCCAACACACTGCTTTGGCCCCTGCTTTGGATAAACAGGAGGCTCAAATCAGGCTCCGTTTGAGTCAATCGGCTAATCGTTGAGTCATTCTTGACCTCGGCTTGGAGTCATCCGATCAATGCAGATCGGGCGGGCACGTCAGACAAGATGTGCTCTTCTTGACTGCATTGTGAGGGTATCACTCCTGGGAAACCCTGGTGTGACAGTCTATGGGAGTCTCCCATGTGACGGCATCCCCTTGTTGGGCCCCATGGTGGGTGGGGTCACTAGGAGCTGAACTTTTTTGAACAATATGGATTCTAAAAATTTAAAACTCCAACATAGTACAGAACAACAAATACCGAATGGCAGAAAACTTTTTAGCGAGCCTGCATACTTGATAATACATGCTACAGGAGATAAACCACTTTCCAAATGCTCTCCTTTTTTGATTCAAAAGCTATTTGAATCCACTATTGGGCAGCTGAAAAAATACAAAAGTTGAGGTCTGGGGATTTACTTATAGAGACAGCGTCACCTAAACAATCAGCAAGGCTTTTGGCAACAAAAAGTCTTGGAGAAATGGGAGTTCTGGTCACACCACACCGAAATCTAAACTCATCACGTGGTGTGATATCTGAGTCAGACTTGATGTCAGCAGACGAATCAGATATATTGACGGTCCTTTCAGATCAAGGTGTCACTAATGTCCAACGCATCTCTATTCGTCGAGACGAAAGTGTGATACCTACTAAACACCTAATTCTGTCATTTAACGAGCCATCATTGCCATCTGTAATTACAGCAGGATATCTGCGTTGCCCAGTTCGACCATACATTCCAAACCCGCTGCGTGCTGCTTCAAATGCCAGCAGTTTAGACATTCACAGGCATCTTGCCGTGGCAAGAATGTATGTGCACAGTGTGGGGATGAAGATCACGAGAGTACCGAGTGTACCTGTACCCCATGCTGTGTTCACTGCAAAGATTTACATCCTTCCTACTTCTGAAAATGCCCTGCATGGCAGAAGGAGAAAGAGATTCAGCGCGTGAAAACAGTTAACAATCTACTTTACCCAGAGGCACGACGCGTAGTAACTTTAAATGCACCAGTGAAACAGAAGTCATTTGCTGCTGTTCTGAAATCCACAAAGACATGTGGAGTTCAAACAGACATTTCTGTTTCACCAAATGAATCTCTAACTCGCCATCAAAAATGTCTGCTCATACCAACTACCCAAACAGCAGAAAAAGAGAGCAAAAAGACCAAAACACCCCTACCTAAAACAGGAGTAATAACAAGGAACATGGGTTCTAAGAAAGCTGCTAAGAACCCGCTCAACAAACAAAAATTAAAAGCAGCCATCTCCAAATCTAAGAAATCAGAGGCTCAGTCTCTGAGAGAGTTCTCTGACTTCTCTGACAAAGAGACTAATAAGGAGGTGACTCCACCAACTTCACCTCCAAAAGGCAAATCAGCCGTAAAACTAAAGAGGGATACCTTCACAAAGAATGCTGCCTCAAACACATAATGGATTATAAAATAATCCAATGGAACTGTCGTAGTTTTCGCAACAACTTCTCTGACATTAAACACTTGACATCATCTACCCCATCTCTTTGCGTGGCACTCCAGGAAACTCATCTAAAACCTGGAGAAAATATTTCTTTAAGAGGATTTGATCTCTACCGCAAGAATGATGATAGCCACAACCATGCCAGTGGAGGTGTGGCTATTCTGATTTTGAATCACATTCCATCATTACCAGTACAAATAACAACAGAGCTGCAGCAGTCAAAATTTCAATTGGCGTAACTGTCAGATTTTGTTCTATATACTTGCAACCAGATGTCAGAGTAAATGAGAATGAACTGGATGCTCTGGTTGAACAGCTGCCAACACCATTCCTTTTACTTGGTGATTTTAAT